TTTAAATATATATATATATTAAAATTGTGTGTGCGTGTGTGTGTGTGTGTGTGTGTGCGCGCGCGCGCGCGCGTGTGTACATATTAAAATATAAACTATTAATATACGATATATTGTTGAATGGAATAATTAAATATAATAAAATTTTTATCTTTTTATCTTTTAAAAACATCTTTTATCTTATGATATCAAAGGTTTCATAATTTCCCCATCATTAAATTATATCAGAGGCATTATTCAATTTTGTCACTGCGTAGATTCATCATGAATACGTGATTATGCGATCAATTCTTTTGTGTTTACATTTCCAATTGCGTAGAATAAGATATTGCGAAAACATTTATCTAGACTTGTATGAATGAATCTACAAAACAAGCTAATAATTCATTTGTGTAACTAATAATTTATTTGTGTATATATCGTGATATCAGAAATGTTAGCACATGTCTCTATAATCTTCATAAATGCTTTTGAAAATTACGAATTGAAAAGAAATTTGAAGGAGTGTAAAAAAAAAAAATTATTATTAATTTAATGATGATTTGTTTATGTTGCGAATATCATATACAATTTATTATTTGTAATTTTGATTTATCACTTTTTTATAAGAAGTTACAATAAGTTATGGATATTTGTTCTCAAAATTTAGATAATCCGACGTATGAAATTTTATGTGATATTTTAGAGCTTTACGTGATAAGGACGTTTTACAATAAGAGCAATGTACTATCATATTGCTTGCGCTTTTGTCAGAATGCGGTTTATCGAAAGTGACTCGAGATGACTTTCTCGATGATAATTTCGGCGAATTTTTCTATATCTTTATTGGTAATATTTTTGTGAATCTTTCTTCATGTTTGGTTGAGATCTATTCGTAAATAACAATTGATTAGCTCGTAATTGATTAGCTTCATGATTGGGCTTGAAATTTCTTGTTGAATGTGAATGTATAAATGTTCCATTTGATTCATTTCTGTATCAATGCAATACGTATTCTAAAACAATGAAAATGATATTTTGTGTGTTACTTTTAGTGTGCCATTACGTGATATTATATATAGTACATAATATAACATAACTTAGGAATAAGATTCAATCTTAGGGATCTGTGGCCGATTATGAACCGAAAATTTGAATTGTGATTTGTTAATTTCATGTAATTCAAAAATATATTAGATATTAGCTGCGTTAAGCAGAAAAAGTTTTGCAACTGTTATATGATTCTTTAATACAATTTGTTTATTCATTTAATCCAGAAAGGACTAAAGATAAAATCAATCACATCAAAGAATTTTACAACTTTTGCAAAGCTATTTTTTTTCTGAACGCAACTATTTTATCAGAACAAAAGTTCATAGTGGCACGAACTTCAAAATTGAAACAGCTCATATAACTTAAACTCGTTAAAAATGAACAAAATTTCTATTTAAAGAAGATTTTTAAAGTTTAATCTCTCCACTTTCGAAAGATCGGTATGTTGTTTTAGTTTTTATAAATTTTTACATATATAAAATTATAAGTTGAACAAAATGGAAGATTTTCTTTTTACTTTGTGCATCTATCACATAAATATAATAAGAGATGCGAAAATTTTTCCCTACAAAATCATTTTTTAAAAATATTTTTTATGATTTTTTTCCCTAGTAGCGCAATTCATTGGCGAAACGTTGGTTAAATTTTGGCATACATTGGGGATATGTTGGGCCAATGTTGCACCGATTGTAATTGTGCTGCTAGGGTTGTTATTGAGTTATCGCGGATTAAATAAAAAGAGCATTTTGACTTTGATTATTCATAACTTTAATCATCATAACTTTAATCATCATACCGTAATTAAAGAAATAGATTCTTAGAATTAAAACTTTGCCATACTCAAATGATAATTATAAAATTTTTTTAAAAACATGTAGACATAGTTTTAATGTTTGTAATGCTTTTGTTCCGATTCAATATAACTTTTTTTTTACACATTCATTTATGTGTACTTGCATTCTACAGCCAGATCTTTCCATATCTTTTCCATATCTTTTCATATATCTTTTATTAATACATTTTACTTACTTTCTGTTTCTGATGTCTTTTCTCCTTTTATATTCTTACATTGAGAAAAATTTCTAGACTTTTTCTAATAAAAATAAAGGAATTATCTTTCTAAAATATAACAAACGGATATTTATGATCATTTTCATCAGATAAAAAATCCAACCAAACATTAATAGAAATAAATTAGTTGGAATGTCCGATAAAAAATATCTGATCGTTACTTTTCAGACGGATAATATAATTTTCCGATCGATTATTTACACGCATATATTTCTGATTTCGGAAATTTGCCATTAAATAAGGGCGGATTGTCTGCTCAAATTATCCGATAAAATCGAATACTTTCGATCATTT